GATTTATATTGATCCCGTGTAAAGTTGAATCATAGAAGTGGTCTTTGAAACTACCTACCGGTTGTTCATTCTGGAAGCTAACGTGATATCAGTTACAGGTTAACAAAACTACCACGAGTGTCAATTGTCCCGGTCGACCCCTCCTACTTGGGTCGCATTCAATCATTTTTAGTTTTCTTTATTTTGTACATATATTTGTTTAATTATATTTTCTTGAAAAAAACAAGGTTTTAGTTTATTAAAAGTGGAGACCTGATATCTCCGGCTGTAGAGCTACGCAGCATCTCCCGGTGAACCTGAACCATAGGCAACCAACCATACAGTGTTGTATGGGTGAACAGGAGGGGGTTTAGGAATGGGAGATTTTTTTGGAGGTCCTTGGGTTACCAATAGGCAAAGGGTAGTTTGTAACCCTTAGGACCATAAAAAGTGGCGCCCGAGCAGTTTAAAGAAGAGAAAAGTACATGCAAGTAAGCTACTAACAATTAAAACTATTCTAGCTTCCAAAAAGGATTTGTGTAATTTTCCAGTTTGAATTTAATTTTGTTTTCCAGGATAATTTTTATTTCTTTTAGTTTTCCAGAACCTGTAATATAGTTAGTTAATTAGGGAATAGTTACATACGTACCACGAGATGCCAGGAGACGAACCTCAGGCGGAGAAAATGGAACCCGAACCAAAGATCGGGTGGGTCTACACAAAGAGGAAGGAAGAATTAATCGCAGAATTAGACGATAGGGGAGTGAAGTCCACTGGTACAGTCGAGGAGTTGAGGGCCAGGTTAATACGGTATATTCGTGATCCACTGGGAACTGCAAGTGACCTAGAACCAGAAGAACATAAGGAAAAAGAATCCATAACTTCAAAAGGAACAATACCAAAAACCAGGTATGAGACCACTTCCAGATCAGAGAGACATCAGCACACAAGGGAGCCAGGGCAAGTGCCAGTGGGTAAACCAACAGCTGCAGAACTAAGTGATAAGGTGCGGAAGTGGGGAGTTAAATTTGATGGTACTGGTGATCCAATATCATTCCTAGAAAGGGTGGAAGAATTAAAAACTTGTTATGGATTCGAGAATGAAGATTTATTAAGAACCTTACCGGAAATGCTAAAAGGTAAAGCGTTGCTTTGGTACAGGAACCACAAAGATGGGTGGAGAAATTGGGCCGATGTCGTCGATAGTGTCGAGATATACTTCCTCCCATACAGGTATCGATTTAAGCTGGAGGAAGACATCCGAAACAGAATTCAACGGCCAGGGGAAAAGGCAGCAGACTACATCACGGACATACTCACATTAATCCGAAGGCAGGGAGAAATGTCCAGGCACAGCCAATTGGATAGAATATATGAAAATCTGCGAACAGAATATAAACATTATATTCGGCCAAGGGACTTCAACAGCTTATCGGACTTACTGGAATTCGCAGGGGAATTTGAAAGGTTGCCTAAAACAGTAAATCCAGTCAGTCACAATTGGGGTAGCCCGAGGGTAAGGTTTGAAGCAAGAACAGCACCTAATAGGTTAGAAAGAAGTCCAGATAGAGTAAGCGGGGAAGCAACAAATACAATGAGAAGAAAAGAGGATAGAAGTAGTTACCAAAGGAGTGAAGTTTGCTGGAATTGCGGAGAAAGGGGCCATCAAAGGAGGTTTTGTCGGGGTGAGTTTAAACCCTTTTGTTCTAGGTGTGGAAAAGAAGGAATCTTGTCCAAAGATTGCAATTGCCAGAGAACGGGAAACGAGAAACGCCAGTAAAGGAACCCCAGGAGTCCCTCTACAACATGGCCAAATATCCTGAAACAGAATTTAGTAGGAAATTGACTACTAATCCAAATAATTGTCTATGTCATACAAACCAGTCGCCGAAACCAGTCCTGCCAGATGAAGACTGTCGTTTGTTTATGACAATCGGAATTTTTGGAAATCCCTTTTTAGCATTAATCGATACAGGGGCAGCACGATCCTATATAGGGAACAAGGTAGTTGAATTACTCAAACATAAAAAAATGTTACCAGCAGCAGGCCAAGCGATAACGGTCCAATTAGCAGATGGTACGGAGGTAAACACGAAGGGAAGATGTCGAGTTCCCAGCCAGATAGGGGGGAATCACATGGAGCTGGAATATCAACACCTTCCTGGACTGACATCCGACATAATAATAGGAATGGATTTCTTGATACAGAAGGACGTCCAGTTAAATTTCAGACAGAAAACGATGAAGCTCTTTGATGAGGTAATAGATTTAAATGTAAATCATGCATCCAGGTTAGATGGCATCAAAGGATTAGAGGGGAACCAGTTAATCATCTTGAATAAGTTCCTAGAAACAGAATTGGAGCATTTTAAAAATTCGCCAGGGAGAACTGCTGCAATTACACATACAATAACGGTAAAACCAGAAGCAGAACCATGCAAACAAAGGTATTATCCAAGAAATCCAGCCATACAAGCAATCATTAATGAAGAAGTGGATAAGATGTTAGAGGACAAGGTAATAGAACCATCCAGAAGTCCTTGGAGCTCACCCATCGTGTTAGTCAAGAAACCATCAGGCAAGTATCGTTTCTGCATTGATTATAGACAGGTTAATCAAAGAACAGTCAAAGATGCGTACCCTTTACCACAAGTCCAAGGGATACTACATAGATTAAGAGAAGCCAGATATATTAGTACTCTAGATTTGAAAAATGGATACTGGCAGGTACCTCTGAGTGAAGAAAGTAAGCCTGTAACCGCTTTCACTGTCCCAGGAAGAGGACTATTTCAATTTCAAGTACTCCCGTTCGGTTTACATTCAGCACCAGCAACATTTCAAAGGTTACTAGACGAAATATTAGGACCAGAAATGGAAGAAAAAGCATTCGCATATCTAGATGACATCATCATAATAAGTAAGAGTTTTAACGAACATTTAAACATTTTGCAGGAGGTTCTACGTAGGCTAAGGGAGAATGGTCTCCAACTACAAATAGAAAAATGTGTCTTTTGTAGAACAGAGCTTAAATATCTAGGACATGTGGTAAATAGAGAAGGAGTCCGGCCAGATCCGGAGAAAGTAGAAGCTATTGTGGGAATGGAAGCACCAGGTAATGTAAAAGGAGTAAGACGGTTTTTAGGAGTAGCATCCTGGTATCGAAAATTCATTCCACAATTCTCGAAATTGGCGGAACCATTAACGGAACTTCTGAAAAAGAAGAATAAATTTCAGTGGGGTCAACAGCAACAACAAGCTTTTGAAAAATTAAAGGAAGCATTAACAACCGCACCGGTACTCACATGCCCTGATTTTAAAGAAACTTTTGTGTTGCAAACAGACGCAAGCAATAGTGGACTAGGAGCTGTACTTACACAGGAGCAAGAAGGTGAGGAAAAAGTAATTGCATATATTAGTAGGGCATTAAATCAGGCAGAACGCAATTATTCCACAATAGAGCAAGAATGCTTAGCAGTGGTGTGGGCCATTGAGAAATTAAAAGGATATCTGGAGGGTTACCATTTTAAAGTAATCACAGATCATAGAAGTCTAAAATGGCTCACCACAATGGAAAAACCCACGTCCCGATTAGCTCGATGGATATTACAATTGCAGCCCTACGACTTTGAGGTGATATACAGGAAGGGAAAATGGAATCTGGTAGCCGATGCATTATCTCGCCGGTATGAGGAAGTTGAGAATTTGACTCCAATACAACCATTGGAGGAAGAGCCGAAGACACCTGAAAATAAAGAATGTAAGTGGTACGACAGTTTAATGTTAAAGGTACAGACGAACCCAGAACAGTTTCCGGAATATAAGATAGAGCAGGGATATTTGTACCGGTCGTTCCCACGATGCACACCGGAAATTGCAGAAGGTTTGGAAAGCCGATGGAAGCTTTGCATTCCCAAGACAGAAAGGATGCGCATAATGAAGGAATGCCATGATGAACCTACAGCGGGACATCTGGGAAGTTCGAAAACCATCTCCCGGGTTTTTCAGAACTATTATTGGCCTGGAAGCACAAGAGACATCATACAATACATAAGAAAATGTGACACGTGCCTGAGATATAAACATTCCACACAGAAGCCACCAGGAGAAATGTACTTCACGAGGGTAGATGAACCATGGGAAACGGTGAGCATAGACTTAATTGGTCCATTCCCCAGGTCCAGCAAAGGGAACTGTTATGCGATCGTTTTCCAAGACAAGTTCACTAAGTGGGTGCAGATAAAGGCCATAAGAAAAGCAACCAGTGCAGTGTTAATCAGACAGTTTCAGGAAAACATTATTTACCAATTTGGCAGTCCGAGGACGGTGATATCAGACAATGGATCCCAATTCACAAGTCAGGCTTTTAGAAAGGTGTTGAAGGAATGGGGAATAAAACAAAGATTAACGCCACCATATACACCCCAGGCTAATCCGGTAGAAAGAGCTAACAAGGTGGTGGGTACTATGATAGCACAGGTGACAAAAGGGGAAGCTAAGAAATGGGACACTACGTTGGCGGAAATAGCATTCGCAATGAATACGGTAAGACATAATTCCACTAAATTTAGTCCAGCATTCCTGAACTATGGGCGAGAACTCCTACCAACAGGCACATTAATTAGGGAAGTGAAATCAAAGCAGGAAGGCGAGGAGTTACAACCTGAGGAACATGAAGAAAGGATGGGAAAAGTACAGGAGATGAGACAATTGGCCAGGGAAGCACTAAGTAAGGCGTTCGAGGAACAAAGAAAACCATACAATTTGAGAAGAAGGCCTTATAAACCTAAAGTGGGTGAGTTGGTATATTGCAGGGAGCATATATTGTCGGATAAAGCAAAAGGAATTTCGAATAAACTAACACCAAAATATGATGGGCCATATGAAATAAAACGAATTATATCTCCTGTAATTGTGGAATTGCAAGGTAAGAAGAAAAGAGGGGAATATCTAAGAGTACATGTCAAAGATATTAGGGTGATGGGTCAAGACATTGATGATAATCTGATACATTCCATACCAATAGAAGAGATGGTAGAAGGAGGGGCATTGAACACAGTACAAGAGAAGGAAACCAAGCAGGGAAAAATTAGTCAGGTCGAGATGGCACCGGTAAGAAGGACAAAGAAAGACAAGAAGAATGAAGGACGGTCAGGCAAGCAAAGAAAGGTGGATGTAGAAGAATTAAATCAGAAAATGAAGAGGTTATTTGGGAGCCCTTACAGCCCGTATAAGGGAAAGGAAGGAGGCGGTGAAAAGAAGACACCAGAAATAGTAAGCCAGATACATCAAAGCAGCCAGGGTTCCACTCCATCCCCAATGGTAGATTGGCCAACACTGCCCACTCCGGACAAAGAATTAAGAGAAATTTGGGAAGCACCAATGGAATGGGGGAAAATTCCAAGCGGCGATGAGGGGACCAAAATGGAAACTTTGGGGATACAACCACTTCCGGAACAACCCGCAAATCAAATACTAGAAAGCAGGGGTAAACCAAGGTCGATGGGGAAGGTGAGTGGAAGTGGAGAAACATTGGGAGACACGAAGATACTAAGTAGAAGAATGAAGCGGAAAAACAGAAGAAACAACCGAAGGGCAGCCATCCTCGTTGCACCGGGTCAAAGATTATACCTGAAACGACAGGATGCGGTGGCACTAGGTCTAGCCAAACCGGTCTAGTCCCAGGAAGGGGTGGTATGTAATGATGTGAAATGTTATAAGATTAATTTGTAATTTGACTCCTGTAGGAATTGGAAATTAATCTAGATTTCTATCAGGAGAGGGCGGTAGTTTCAAAGACGTCATGTTTGTGGACATTCCCACCAGTACGATTACCATCACCATTACATTCCCACTTCCTTCCACAGACTATATAAACAGAAACCAGACCAGAAAGGGGACTCGTCTTAGAATTGTTTTCCTGATCCTAAGAAATTCTTTCCTGTTTCCTGGTCAGACGTTAGCGATTGTAAATCGCGCTCTGACACCCGCCCTGTTGAATAATTTACCTCAGACGTGCCGGTTGTAGTACCGCGCTCTGAAACCCTTCCTGAATTAAAAGTGTACGGCCGTATAGCCGTGCCGTTAATTTGGGGTTACCTGACTATACAGTACAAAGAGGTGCAGGTCGTAGGACCGCGCTCTTCCTGTTACCATCCGTGGAAAAAGTATACGGCTGTATAGCCGTGCTCAGAATTAGGTTATCCCTGTGGTGAAATTTCGGTAGACGCTGCGAATGTAAATTCGCGCTCGACTGGAACCAGCCTTCCTGTAATCTACCCCGAATATTTTTGTACTTGAGCGTCTAACGCAAAACTTACTTGATTTATATTGATCCCGTGTAAAGTTGAATCATAGAAGTGGTCTTTGAAACTACCTACCGGTTGTTCATTCTGGAAGCTAACGTGATATCAGTTACAGGTTAACAAAACTACCACGAGTGTCAATTGTCCCGGTCGACCCCTCCTACTTGGGTCGCATTCAATCATTTTTAGTTTTCTTTATTTTGTAAATATTTTGTACATATATTTGTTTAATTATATTTTCTTGAAAAAACAAGGTTTTAGTTTATTAAAAGTGGAGACCTGATATCTCCGGCTGTAGAGCTACGCAGCATCTCCCGGTGAACCTGAACCATAGGCAACCAACCATACAGTGTTGTATGGGTGAACCGGAGGGGGTTTAGGAACGGAAGATTTTTTGGAGGTCCTTGGGTTACCAATAGGCAAAGGGTAGTTTGTAACCCTTAGGACCGTTACACGTTTGAGGTTATGGTGTTTTTGTTGTGAAACAGTTGGGCATAGCTCGTGTGTGGGGAAGTGTATCTGCCGGTATTTGGATGGTTTTTGGCAATGTTTCGGTTATTAGACTGGTTTAGGTTTTTGTTGCTGATTAGTTGTTGGTAATGTGGGCACCCTTTGAAGTTGGCTGTATGTTATCCTTCGCAGTTGACGCAGCGCGGTTTTTCTTCCCGATGTTTGGTACACTCGGAGTAATGGTGATCCCCTAGGCATTTGACGCACCTTGGGGGTAACTTGCAATAGTTCCTCGTGTGGGTGTAACGCTGGCAGCGTGTACACTGAGGTATGCCACTGCCTCCCCGTCTCGGCTCAACTATTATTCTGCAGTGCTATAAGGTTTCTAGTTGGAATATGGAGTTAGATTTTTCTTCTTTGGCCAGGAGTACTGCACAAATAGGAATAGGTTGTTTGTCCTTATTGCGTAGGCGTGTTACATTAGATACAGAAAAGTTTTTGAGCAGTAGTTCTTCTTTAATTTCATCGTCTGTGATTGATGTCGGGAGATTCCTAATTATTACGGAAAGATTGGCGGTATCGGGGCTTCGATACGTGTGGTATTTGACGTTGCCTTCCTTATCATAGTAGGCTGTGAGCGCTCTGTAATCATCGATGGTATTTAAGTTTACTTTAATTTGGGAACCTTTATTATTAATGGTGAATCCGTTCTTAACGTTTGATTTGATATCATTGATGACCTGCTTGTAATTTGAAGCATCATGAATAAATATAGGCGGTATCTTGACGGGTGTGGTGATTGTATTATCGTCGTGCGAGGTTGAATTATTATCTTGTAGTGCCGTTTCTTGTTGGGGGGGTAAATAGTACTTGTTTTGTTTTATTAAGTAGGGACATGGTGTTGCCACCTACTATAAGGTAAAGCAACAACGAATAAATGAAATGAAATGAAATGAAATGAATGATTTTCATATTTAATTCTGTTTCAACTAACCGACGCAAGAAAAAACGTTTATGGGGTAATTTTCTTTAGAGAATGTAATGCTGCATCTGCATCAGATACTATTTGTTTATCATTTTCCGGAACCAGGGTACATAATCGAAGAAAAAGAAATAGATTTGAGGAAGAATTGTTCTTAAACTTATATTCGGATTTTCCGCTACGGTAGCCAAACCGTTGAATGTATTGTCGTTTTCCTGATGGTTTTGAAGGACATTTTGAACGTTATTGCACTTGCAGTGCTGTTCCTGTTCTTTGAAACTTGCGCACAATTCTGTCTACTGTGGTACTGCTTGGAATCGGTCGATTGGGTTACTTCACAGTAAATAAAGACGTTACTTGGCGGGCATAAAACAACTTTAACATTTCCTCTTTCTCTTCAGTTACATACCTACATGATAAACAATTTTTTTCACTACTAGCGTCTGATGACATGATTATTAACCTTTTTTCCACTTGTAAAGTAGGCTTTCTCGGCATTTGTTCAAAGTGGTTAATAATTTTTTATTATTAACTAGTAGTCAATAATGAGAACTGTCACGCTGTCACTTTTAGAAAACACAACCCGAAATTTCGCTCAATGAACGTTTAGACAAGTTCTCTAAAACGAATAATTGCCACCATTCGCAATTTCCAGAGAAATTACATACCTAAAATTATCACATTTTGAAAAAATTCGAACGAAATTGCTCTTTGAAAAATCTCAATGTCAGAACAAAATACGGCCTGTTTGACTTGTACTTCCACGTACTTGATTGACATGTTAAATTAAGAAACAAACAATTCTGTCCAACCGTTAACTCTCTTATCAATATAATATGTTAATTTAGAGGATTTCAAGTGCTAGTAGTGAAAAAAATAGTATATATACCACGGTAGAGAAGTCTATTATTGCCTTCGCACCTTACACCCCTCGGCGCAAGCGCCTCGAGATGTAATCTTGGTGCTCAGGCAATAATAGTGGACTTCTCTACCTTGATATATAATGTACTATTATGATTAACTAATTTATAAACAAGTATAAATTTAATAAATGTCAAAGGCAAATAATGAAACGTGATCGCTGTTTTTTTAGGTAATTCCAAGGCAATTTTGTTAATTTCTACGGTATTGAAAAACGGAAAATTATAAGTAATGTATTTTTTTCTATAAAAAAAACGTATTTAGACCTTTGCTGAAAAATAATTAGGGGCGCAGGTAATTGGCCATAAAGAAATTACCATTGAAATCCCTATGCTGCGTCGCGCTAGGCACCACCCTGTATAAAGTTCTCCTCCCGTACGTGTGTTGTGATTGAACTCCTAAACGGGTGGGCCGATTTTGATGAAATTTTTGTGTGTCCCCGGATGATTTAGATTCACAACTGGGCCTAATCGGATTATAGGATCTTTTTAAAAACTTATTTTTTCATTGACTGTGCTATTTCGTTCCCAATGTATTTACATTTTGTAAGCTGAGTTTTCGTGATCATGTATCCGTCAATATAAAGAGTGCGAAGTCGCAGGAGAAAATCGAGTAAGTAATATAATAAATTCTAATTCAGAAAGTAGTGTTGCATATTGGTTTTGGTACAATAGGTACATATCTGACTGGGCTATTAGATATGTCTCGCCCAGATGATTCATTTTGACTTTGTGAGTTACTCTCCTCCAACAAACCGTTTTGAAGATATTGGCTCTTAAAGTTATGACATTACCAATGCATATAAGTATTTCGTCTAGCTAGAAGTAACAATCACGATAAGGGGTCGAAGAGGAGAACTGCGGTTGGTAGAAATGAATTCTTTTGGTAGAGTATCATGAAGGATATTACCAATCCCCCCCCCCCTCAACCCTCCATTTTATAAGGGCTAAAGTAGAATTATACTAGAGTTGCCGTATTTACGTAGAGCCTTGTAGTAAAAAATGAGATTTTTTTAAAATTAAAATTTGGGTCAATTTTTCACGTTCGTGATTTTTGGGGAAAGTTTGTGGAACTTTTTCCCAAATCTACTATCTTATACTGTAGAACTATTTTAGATGCAAATATAATGTAATCAGAAATTAAAAAAATTTTAGGTGGATGAAAAGAGGATAAATTTTATCAGTTGGAGCGTTATTTTTTTTGTTCATTTACCTACCAGAAATTGGGTCAAATTTTACTCGAGACGTCTTATAATAGGTTAAGAAAGGATAAGTCAATCGAGCTTTACATTGGGCTTTGTGTAAGAAATTTTAAACTGGTCATTATTGTCCATAATTTATACTGGACGATTCTTTATAGAAATGACTTGCTTTTAAATCGCCCTGTAAATCACGGGTTTACATCCACCAATTTCAACCCCAACAACCAACAGGAAGTAGCTCACTTTTCCCAAAGTTGGGTTCGGGGCGAAGGCCTTTTTGGCTTTTCGCAAATTGTTAAGTTGAATCACAATCTACTTCGTGACTTTTAAAATTGAATAACGGTATGAAAGTCAGATTGGTACAAAGTCAAATAAATTGAGTTAAAGAATAATAAAATTATAGTTGAGTTTGAATTTGAAAACTGCTTCGTTTACCGTAAGGGGTGTTAATTAACTTATTTTTAATCCAAAGACCATAGTCGAGAATGACATAGCGTGAAAATGTTGACGTGCGAAGAGCGCTGCGAGTAGGTATAAAAAACAAACGAGGAAAGGAGGGTACCGTTTCTTCGGCAGCATTGAAATCTGGCCACCCTAATCAGCGCTTGAGAAATAAGAAAAATACCGGCAACTAGTGATATTGTAATTTGTTTGTCAAGTTATTACGTGAATACTTTTAACTTTCTAAAATACAACACGAGAATGACGTAAAATATTAATTATTAATTAAGTGAATTGTAGCAGCAGTTATTGCGAATTAAGTATACTTTGGTATTGAGACGTCCACGTCGGATACGCATAAATTTTGAAAAAGAAAAACCAAAGCGAAACGAATATTTGCGCAAGCCCGTATGTAAATAAGACGATAAGAAAAGCGAAACGCTAATAAAAGTGCAATAAGTAAGCTAATCGGCCATGTTAGTTCGGATGTAATACGTAGCAGCGAATTTTACAACGCGTAAAATAAGTAAGAAAATTCACTGCGGGTGCCCCCCGACTACGATGTGGCCCCACTGCCAAGTCCGGGGGCTGCGATAACGCAGTCGGAGCGACCAGCGCTTGGCTGCATGCCCGAATCGACCTCGTAACGCCGACTTGTATCTACCTAACCAATTTGACAGCTACTATGAAAATTAAATGGTTTTCTAGGTTAATATTTCACTATTTCTCGACAACATATTGAACAAATCGCACTTATTTCACGATAAAACGTTACGTGCAACATTGGCCACCCTTAAACATCGCTTGATGGCGGCCGAACACTCGAGATAATGTGAAAAACCAGATATAAACAAAGCAAATGACCTGTTAGACAATTTCCTCATTTGTACACATTTTAAAGTAAAATTTCACGGGGAAACGCGTTTAAAAAGCCGAATTTCTCTCCCGATTACGTTTCGCGACATCGCCACTTAACCGAATTGAAAAAGAAATTCGTTATTTAAGGGTAGCAAAAGCGTGAATTAGTAAGAAAAACAAAATAGAGGGTTTCTTACCTTCCCTGATATTGGTTTCACAACGCCACCTATCTTGATATGCGTCGTCTAT